GTGCATGCGTGCTGGGGATGGCGGGGCTTCGAAGCATTTCACTGGCACATATCTACGACATTTCGTATTGATCTCACCATGTTTGCATGCTTTGGTTCGTGTAATTAATTAATATACTGCAATCGACTGATTTTTTTAACACAAAAGAAAAGAAAGAATGGATAATGAATAAACGAAATGAATAAAAATTAATGATTAGATACATTAGACTACATCCAGTATATCCATTTTTTTTCTCCTATGTGCATGTACATATCAATTTACTTTCCAATCAAAAAAAAAAAAAAAATTAGCCCCTCTCTCTAATAATAAATAAAATTGAAAAAAAAAAAACAAAAAATAGAAAAAGAACGAAAATTTTAACGATAAACATAAGTTATAAAAACGAACATAAAGTTAATCTGAATTGGATTTCCAGTTGGGAGAATGTTCACATTTTTTGACAGGCACCATTAAAAAAAAAATAATGATTATATGAATGTAAAAATTTCTATGAAATTATAATTTATCAAATTTTCTGTCCTTGTTGAATGCAGTGAGTAAATAAAAACGAATAGATTAATAATGTGTAATAATAATAATTTATTAAAGTGATCGGGTTCGGCCTTCGTCAAATCCAATTCAAGATGTCAGCCCCCTGTGGTAGAAAGCAGTGTAGAATTGGTCCATCAATTCTTAATTCAGATCTATCTAAGTTAGCTTCAGAATGTCAGAGACTGATGGACAGTGGTGCAGACTATCTGCATCTCGATGTTATGGATGGGCATTTCGTCCCAAACTTAACGTTTGGACATCCTGTTGTTAAATGCCTTCGACCGAAGGTGCCCGGAGTGTTTTTTGATATGCATATGATGGTTCAAAACCCAGAGCAGGTGGGTGTTTTTCATTACTCTTTATTCTTTAAACCTATGTGTTTTATTCATGAGCAGTGAGGTCTTTATAAAGAAAATGGTCAACATTGAGAGGGTGCTTTATCGTATCATAGTTGAGTCATCATTGATCAAATTAAACCGGCATTATTTTGTAATCTAAAATTACTACATGTAGGTGTATTTGAGTGACAAGGAAGATGACATCACATTAGGATGTATCCACTTATATTTTACTAGCATGATATACACAGTTTCCTCATAAACATTGTACTTTATGCATCTTAACAGTAGATCAGATGATGCTTATTATATAGTACATTTACATGTATCATATAATATTAAACCGTGGTGATATTTACTTCAGTCCACATTCTGTTCAACAGTAGGAAATTTTCAATTATATATTCTCATGCCTGGCTAAAAAAGTACATAAAAGTACATTTATGAATAACCTGGTATTAAACAGGACAAATTTCTATTCAAATTTACTTTACAGTGGGTTCAGAATATGGCAGATGCAGGAGCAAATCAGTACACATTCCATTATGAGGCAACAGATGATCCTACTGGATGTATTAGGAAGATCAGAGAAGCTGGAATGAAGGTCAAATAACTGCAATTGAAAACTAGAATTTGTTTTGTTTTTAATCCCATCTCTTTAAAAGTAGTGTATATCAGATACAGATTGAGGTTTTGATTAGGATAATAAACACATTAATGGAATATTTCATCAAATACTTTTGCTTAGAGGGGGATGGATCAAAGATTTATATTAGGAGGGAAGGGGGTCAAAAGGCAGGGGCTCTGGGTTACAGTAACTTGAGACTCCAGTGGGTCGAAAGAAACCTCTCAAGTTTTCTAAAGATTTTCTCCTATTTCTTGTTATCATAATTAGTGATAGGAATGATAAACCGTGATAAACAACTGATATTTTAATTAGGTCAATGGAAAGAATCAAGCCCCCAAAGCCTCTTTCATGAAGCAATTTTTTTTTACATGTATATATACTCTTATCCAAAAATTCATTTCTTTTTCAATATGGAAAAATACAAGTAATTGATCTTGTTCTTATATTTGTCAATTTTAGGGGGGAGGGGGGGCATCTGGTGCATGCCTTTAAATTCACAAGTTATTAGGCTTTGTAAAAATGAGTCCTTATGGACTCAAGTCTTCAGAAAGAAACAAGTCCAAGAAAATTCTGATAAATCACTGCAAAAATCCATTCAGGGTATTTTGATAAAACCAGCTTAATTTCTTTATTTTTAAATAAGTTAATTATGCAGTTTTAATTAAAAAAACACAATTATCTTGAGTTTAACATGACAAAGTCATGGACTAACATTGTAATTTCCTTTCATTAAGGTTGGTGTTGGTATAAAACCAAAGACAGCAGTGGATGTGTTAGTGCCATTAATAGACCTAGTAGATATGGCTCTTATAATGACAGTGGAACCAGGATTTGGAGGCCAGAAGTTTATGGCAGACATGATGCCAAAGGTATTCTTACAAAAAATAGGAGTTTTCTATATGTCACAGATTTGAAGATTATGCCTCAACTTTATAAAGACTGTTGTTTATTTTTGGCAAAACAGATAATAACACATTAAACACAGTGTATACATGTATATATAAAAATTAAGATTGTCATATCTGTATCTATGATCCGATGAACAACATGAAATGTGAGAAATCTTATAAACCTTGATTTTTAAAATAAAAGCATTCTTGTTAATCTACAAACAGGTTTCTTTTCTGAGAGAGAGGTACAGCGATTTGGAGATTGAGGTAGATGGGGGTGTCGGACCATCAACAATTCAGTATTGTGCTGATGTAAGTAACATACATGTAAAATTAAAGCAAGTGCTGAGTCACATTTTCATCAATGGATAATGGTGATGATCATTTGACATATTCTGATAGCATACTTTTATTCATGTGTGAGAAATGTTCATGAGTTTCACAAATTTCTTAAGCTCACAAATATTTCTTCCTGCAAATCAGTGATTTACTTGTATACATGAACTTACGTTCCCCAGTCTCAAAAGTGGCATAAAAGATTTCAAGAATAAAAGTTGGTTTATGGTATATATTAGCAAGCTTGAGCAATGCAATATTTTACTAGTTAGCTGTCAGGAATACATTCAACTTCATTTCATATTTATTTCAGGCTGGTGCTACAATGATTGTATCAGGGAGTGCTATTATCAACAGTGACAATCCAAAAGAGACTATAACTTACATGAGGGATATTGTTAATCAATCCATACAGAAGAATTCTGCCAAGAGTTAACATAGTGCTGGTTATTAGAGTTGTATGTATACTGTGTAGAAGTTATTCTGTACACCAACATTTGTCTCACTGGCTAGTGATAATTTTGTATTTAAACACTTGATGTGTAATATTTATGAATATATTCAATCCAAATCTTTAGGATATTTTTTTATGCCCCGCCATGAATATGGCCGGGGCATATTGTGTTTGTCATGTCCGTCTTCCGTCCTTCCGTCTGTTCTTCCATCACATTTTGCGCATAGCTCTGTTCAAAGCTAAGTTTCAAAGAAACTATCCAAGATATTTTCATCAAACTTCATATGCTGATAGATATTGATGAGAGTTATGCAACTGCATCAACATTTTTTTTACCTTGACCTTTCCTTTGACCTTGACCACACTTTTCTTAAATTAGTGTTTAGCTTAATTTTAAACATACCATTCAAGATGGTGTTATCAAACTTCACATGTTGATACATACTGATGAGAGCTATTCAACTGCATCAACATTATTGACCTTGACTTTCCTTTGACTCTTGACCTCACTTATCTTTAATTAGTGTTTTTGCTCAGTTTTAAAGATACCATTCAAGATATTTTTATCAAACTTCATATATTGATCCATATTGATGAGAGCAGTTCAACTGCATCAACATTTTTTACTCTGACCTTTCCTTTGACCTTGACCTCACTTTTCCTAAAATCAGTGTCAAACTTCATATGCTGATACATATGCTGATGTAAGCAATTCAACTGTATCAACATTTTTGACCTTGACCTTTTATTTGACCTTGACCTTTCCCTTGACTTCACTTATCTTTAATTTATGTTTAGCTCAGTTTTAAAGATACCATTCAAGATAGTTTTATCAAACTTCATGTGCTTTTACATACTGATAAGAGCAATTCAATTGCATCAACAATTTTGACCTTGACCTTTTCTTTGACCTTTGAACTAACTTTTATCAAATTGTGTTTAAGTCAGTTTAAATTAAAGAAATCATTCTAGATATTTTTATCAAACTTCATATGTTGATACATATTGATGAGAGATATGCAACTGCATCATCATTTTTGACCTTTGCCTTGCCTTTGACCTTGACCCTCATTTTTCTTAAATCAATGCCAAACTTTATGTGCTGATACATACTGATGTAAGCAATTCAACTGTATTAACATTTTGCCGTTGACCTTTTATCTGACCTTGACCTCACTTTTATCAAATTGTTTTTAAGTCTGTTAGAAAGAAACCATTTATAATATATTCATATGCTGAAACATACTGATGAGAGCTTTTTAACTGCATCAACATTTTTTGACCATGGCATTTCCTTTATACCCTTGGCAGGGCATTCATGTCCTATGAACGGTTCATTCTACCTATTCCCACTTCTTGAAAATCATGTAGAAAAACGTAAGATTTTATGTGGGAATAGGTGGAATTTTGTGTAAACAAATAATTACCTATGTTCTTAAATTTAGGTATTAAGTTGCTTTTTCTCGTTAGATCTTTTTATTATTTAAAAAATCCGAAATAAATCATATTTTCTCATAGATGTATTCATTATTTTCTGTCTTAAAATGTACAAAATACAGGTATATAAATCTAAACATCTATTGTTATTTGCAAGTGGGAATAGGTGGAATTGAGATTTTTAAAAAGTGGGAATAGCTAGAAGACACCCTATGGACATATTTCTAGTTTCTAAAGAATCTCTAAACCCAGTAAGGAATTTTAAAATGATTTTTTCTCAGGTATAATTACTAGCATTGTCTTGGAGTGTATTATTTATATACAATGTAATTATGGTTTTATTATTTCCTGCTATTAATCTCATACACAAAATTAAAATTTAGAGATAATTAATTCCTATAGTCTATAGTGAAAATGTTTGGTTAAAATGTTTGACTGTTGATTGAATGATCTGGCATCAAAAGTTTTTTTAGCTCTATGAGAAAACAAATGAATGTCTTTTAGTATTTATTTTCTTTCATTTCATGAATTAATTTTTTGATGGTAAGATCATGAACTATGATTAGTAAATTATTATTTTTTTATTTAATGAAAAGCATAGAAAGACAAGTATTTCAAACTTCTGGTGCTATTTCAGGACATCATTAAGATTAGATATCTTTAAGATATACCCATAGCAACTCTGTAGATTATTTACAAGTTTATCCACTCTTTATTTACTTTATTAATTTGCATTGCATATGTAAGCATATATTCGGTCAGAATACATCTTGGTTGGAAAGAAATTTGCATTTGAGAGAACTTATGAAGCTCACATTCTTTTGAACCAGGTATAATGATCTGGCATCAGCAAACTTAAGAGTTTTATAACATTTAAAAAATAAAGGTTAATATATGGCCAAAGCCATTTCATTTAAACTTTGGAATACATATTGTGTGAATATTTTGGCAAAGTTATTATATTTAATTCATTTTTTGCTTAGTTTTTTTGCTTAGAATTTTTATGATTTTATGTGAATCTTTACCCCCTTAATTCCTCAGCACTTTACAGCACTTTGATTTTTCTAAAAGTTAAAAAAATTCTTAAAAATTATATAAAGTTTCACTTTGGCAGATATATTAGAATGACTGTAATATGCTACCTCTCAGATGTTATATTTGGTCATTCTTCATGTATAAATACAGGGGGATGCTTAAATTTTTGCTATTATAGCAAAAATTTAAGCATCCTCCTGTATTTAATATAATAATATGATTATAGTATCAGACCCAAGGCAAAAAAAAAAGATTTTGCCCTGTAATTAACTAGTGCATGTATTTGTACAATTTTCATTAATTGCAAACTTTGTAAGAAAAATATACTAGTACTTCTGAAATATTTTTGTTCTAAAGACACTGTGATATGGGCATAATAAAATGTGCAGACTCAAATTCCAACTTTAAAATTGATTCAAATGTGTGCTAGTAGAACCCTTCTTGTAATGTGATTTATCATAAATAAAATCAAAACAATTGTAACCAAGATTTTTTTTTAGCTCTACTTATTTTTCGAGCTGAATTTATTTAACGTTGTAATAAACCTTTAAAGCTTATAATTTATTCAGTGTTTTTAAATATCTCTGAAGTCATGATACATGTAAATCACCTATAGATGCTGTTCAACATCACAAGAACAATTTGTTTTTTTTTGCATTAAAAAGTGAGAAAATGTTCAAAAGCGATCGTAACTTTCTCTTCCCTGGTACAGTACCGAACAGACCCAACCTGACACCCAAGCAGTCCCAGAAAGCAGTCGCCGGGATTGCTTTGGGACAGCTGTGGGACTGCTGTGGGACTGCTCTCTGGGGTCGCTCTGGAACTGCTATGGGACTGCTCTAGAAAGCAGACCCAGCAGTCCCAGCTGTCCCTGGGACTGCTTTCTGGGACTGCTTTGTTCACTCATGTGTGAAAAAGATTCTGAGTGACATGATAGCTGCGCTCCCATGTGTATTCTGAATTTGCAGGCTCCCAGTTGTTTTGTTTACTTGCAACAGAGAGGAGTTTAAACAATTGAAAAAGCAAGGGTTTCTTACAATTTTTTAATAAGTAGAGATTATTTTAGTTAATATTTTCAGAGACTGTATTTTTACACAAATGTAGTTTAAAGACGCAATTTTTTTTACCGTACTGTTACCTGAGGAGGGGGAGTGGTCCAAGTAACAGTGGTGTTATTTACCTGGAGACCCTCAATACCCAAGATGTCAAAAATCTATATACATGTAGCATTACACAGGAAGTCTGTGTCTGGTATTCAGGGTCAACATTCCGTGTTTCGTGTCTAACTTTGAGTGAAATTACTTGAAATAATTGAAATATTTCAATATAAAATTTATTTATAAATATTTTCAGCGATATCTAATGAAGAAAAAAAATTATAAAGAAATATCGTTTTTATATTTTAAAAAATGACAAATTAAAGAAAAGAACACGGAATAAAATTACAAAGTAAACATATCTTTTTTAAATTAAACTTGTGTAAATATCAAAATTTAAAAAGATATTAATAAAATATTTCATTCATAGGTAGGCCTATCCTCGTGTGAACATATACAATGTACCGTACCGCGATAGGAATATTGCCTACGTTCTGATCAACAATAGTGTCGAAAATATTCACCATTTCCGGGTGTCCGTGTTAAAATTTTTTCATTCTTTGCAAGATTCTTTTTTATACTTTTAAGAATTGGTCTTTGGCTGTATATATTCATATTTACTTTCGAATATTGGGTATTGACAGATGTTAGGAAATTCGAACTAAAAGTTACCATCTCGAAACTCGACAGCAGTTTCTGAAATTTCAGAACTTTACAACGGAACATGGTATAGATTGTATTCATATATATAAGTAGATAAAACATCGGATAAAGGAATTTTTTATCCGTGCCGTTTGTGCTAAATATCTTTTCCTCTTTATCATATTCCAATATTAATCGGCAAATAGCGTTTCTGTGCACGGACTGGTCTAAATTCTACAACAGATATCTTTGGACGACCTACCTACCTAGCCCTTGTTATGCCCGTGGGCACATAGGGCAAGCTTACTCTGATGATTCTTTCATTTACAGGATGGTATTCTATTAATGCTTTTGCTGCATTTTTACTTAGGATGACAGCTACTCCCTCATGATGTTGATTGTCCCTTCTTCCAGAGTACACAATAACTTCACCTGTACTGGCAATATTCTTCCCACAATCTGTCCATCTACACTCACTTATGCCTAGTACATGTAGCCTGTTCTCCTTCATCTCTCTCGAAACTTGAGCCTGTTTTCCTGTTTCATACATGGTTCGTACATTCCAGAAACCGACTCTCATTTTAGTTCGCGTGTTCAGTATACTTCTCGTGTGGACAGCTTCCAGTCGGCTTTCACTGTTCACAGTCAAACATGCAGTATTCTGCTGGTATGCTGAAGACTCGATGTAAGTAGAAATATTTCTAGTCCTTGTTTCCGTAATCGTTATGATTTTAAAGGAAGGGGAGATTACCCCCTTGCCCAACCCCCAACCTGGAGGACCAGGGTAATTTGTTTATGGATTCCTTCCACTAGATCTATGGCTTTCCATGGCTAACGATACTAGATCTGATCGTGATTTTAAATTAGAGTTTATCTTCTCCTAGGTAACTGCTTTACCCAGCTAACGCCTTTACCTGGACGGATTTCTGTAGGGTTTACTCCTTAGCCTTTCCTTCTCCCAAAGGTATCCACAAGGCAGCGGTTTGTTGCTATTTACCCATAGCTGGGGACTAGGATTGCAGGCATCAGGGCATATCCACACACCGGTGGGCCATGCATGCCGTGCATTTAGGGGCCTAGTCTCCTCCAAGACCTTGTGGTTCTGCTTGGGGCCGCAAGGTACCCAATTTCCATCTGCTACCTCGAGGAGGATCCCATATCTGGGCCACATAGGTCTAACTGTGGAGAGGCTATACCTGGCAGGGAAGACTTACATATTTTGCTTCCTTTTCACAGCAAACTGTTAGCCAGGGGTGGTGCTGAAAGCGAGAGCGACAAGCACAGACACAGACAAACACACACACTGTACGCATCACACAGCCATTAAAGCAGACAACGACATATCGCCTAAAATACAATATAGCCGTTGAGATTAAAAGCAAATATTTTATGAAGTCATGTTTTATTTATCGACTCTCAATTGTTTTTAAAATAAGATTTTACCAAGATTCTTTTTTTA